CTGGTTTAATACGGACAAGTGACGGGCTGAAGACGTCCCAGGGGTGCGCTATGTGCTACCTTCTCCCTCCCCCCATGGGACACTTCGCGTGGAACGACGTGACGATGTTTCTGACCCACCCTCGTAACACTTCGCGCGTTTCCATTTGCCGGATGTAAACTCGTCATTACCTAAACCCCCTTTACCTCGCCACTGTCCACTCTGGCCGGACGCGACTTCAACGAGTTGTGTTCAAAGCCCCAGTTCAGATCCGAGAATCGTCGAATCAAAGACATTCACAGATTTGCATACAATGTTTGCAGCTCGTAAACGAAAATCAGATGGAAGTAACTTTTATGTACAACTTGGAACGACGCATACGTCCGATTTATCATAGCGTTGTACTACTTAAATTTCAATAACTAGCTTATTTATTGATCGATTTTGTTAGATATCGAAAGAGAAACGTTAGTTCGTGTGTTGTTGGTTTCCGTAGGACGTCGGAATACTTTCTATTTATTTTCACGAGAGCGTGAATATTGTTTGCGGAGAGTGAAACGCGATTCGACGTGGTTCGATCGGGGTAACGGGGGAGGCGATGGTCGGGGCAGGATTAGAATATCAATTATCGAAGAAACAGAGGCCGTGACGGCGGCGCGGTTCTAAGAGGTTCTATTAGGTGCGAGTCAGTCTGGCAAGCAGCGAAGCGCGGCCACGGGTTTAAGGTCTTAACAGCTACTAAAGCAAAAGCTGGTTTCTATCTCGCTCTTAAGCACGGAAAACAAGCCGTGTTAGACGAAGGGGTGTATTGAGGGCCGCCATTGGCTATCCACGCTCCTTTATTGCCGGTTGCCTGGTAACCGGCCTGCCACCGACGCACACCGATGGCAACCACCCTGAAACCACCCTGGAACCCGACCAGCGCACACCCTCGCTCGGGAACTCGCAACCGCGGCCCACCCGTTCCCCCCCGCGGAAAGCTCGCACACTCGGGCGCCGTTTCCCCGGAGCGTACGCGCGCACGCATACACGCCAGCGGGACGGCGACGCGTCATCGAGCCGCGTGAAGAACGCGTGCTGTGGAATCTTCGTGTAATCGGCCGAGGGGACGGCGGGGGTGGCTCGCGCGGTTCGTGTCGGTGCGCGGAACGACCCCACGCAGCCACGCGAGTGTACGTACGCATGGCGTGAATATATTTAGCGAGGAAACTACCACTGTTTTCACGCGCGCGAGAGGGTGTTTCGAGAGCTCGGCTCTCCGCGATGCTTGTCCCTGTGTGCCACGGCATAAAGTCTGCCTGCCCGAGTAGACCACAAAGTTTTCTCTGAAGCCGTTGGATTTCTTCCTTTTATCGGCGCGCTCCTTCCAAACGGGGGTTGGGGGGATACTTTCGCGGATGATTGTGTCCCGTAATCGCGCCCACGACCACCGCTGGTATGGGGAATAAACTCGCAGCCCCGGGCTGTGGAATCTTTCCTCGCACAAACGTGTTTCACGCCCTCCGCAGCTTCCCAATTGATATTCAGGCGAGGAAACTTTTCTCGCAGGCTTCGTCTTTCCAACCACAGTTTCATAGACCATCGGAATAGAGATTCGAGCGGCCGTCTGATCGACGTCTTCCGATCCACGAGACGTCGGTCAATCTTCATCAAACGCTGCGATCTTACGAGTCGTTCTCCGGCCTGGAGAAGATTAAAAACAATTGGTTTTCTGAAGTGGCTGTGCGTAGCGCAGGCAGCCTCCCTAGACAGGCTCCCGAGGGAGGTCGCGACATCCCACGATATTCGAGGGCACTACGGACGGATTAGATTCAGGACAAATTAGAGGAGAGCGAGAGGGAGAGGCGCAGACTTGCCGGGGTAGAGGCCAAACGCGTACTCGCTGGTCCCGTAACAGCTAACTGGATTTGATTAATCGATTCGGTTACAGCCTCCTACTTAGCTAGCCTGACGCTTCCTGCCGACTCTAATATCATTCTCACGTGCCCGACGAGACACCTAAAGTCTGTCTTTTACCCCTGCGAATATTCTCAAATATTTGTCGCCCTTAATTCGACGAACAATTACAATTTGACACACGAAAGGAAATAATTGACTGAAGTGCATTCGTGAAAAAAATTCATTCCGATTGAAAGGCTTTATTTCAAGACACCTTGTCATTACCTGAAGAAATTTTATCTCGAGGCACTTCATATTTTCGGAGGAACGACGGAGCAGTGAAAGCACGCGGAGAATTTCCTCGGTGTTATTAGCATCCGGCGAGCTACTTGCGTTCATTTCCTCGCGACGCGCAAAGCGATTGGTTTGGTAGCTCGCGTGGTAAATAAGCGTACTTAAAAACCCGGGAGCAGGAAGCAACGCGAGGCCGGGGTGGCGTAAAGAGGCTCTCTACGATCTTGTGAAACAATGCATCGCGCGAGGTTCCGTGCTCGGTGTCTTGAGCCGTGCGTGGTCGAGCCTCAAATATTTATTTTCCACGCGTATATGCGTGCAACCGGTATACATATTTCAACGTAAAAATTAGACAAAGAAGATGTTCATTCATTAAATCTGTACATACAGAATTGAATTTATTCTCGTAATTTCGTGAGCCCCGAGTTCGCGCATCCCTTGACTAAATGAATATTTATAACAAATGGAACGAAATTTATTTGACACAGAAAAACACGGTCGCTCGGTCTATAGAGAGTCGAGAAGAAATGTTGGATAAAATTAAGCCGGCACGCGAGAAATTTACTTGAATCGACTGAATGCGCCCGACGCTTCCTCATTAAGTTCTTCGTCTTCGTGGAACGACGAGCCAAGCAGGAATACTTTCCACCGCTTCCCGAGCTACGAGTAGTCACGTCGACGATAGTTTTCATTAAACAACTGCCAGGGGGTGTTTTGAAAATTCGCGACCCTCTGAATCGACACAATAAATCACAGGCGTAATTAATTCACAATCACGCGAGAAAGATTCATTGCGAGTATCGAGCGATACACGCCTTTTTTAATTCCAACGGGCTTCCTTTTTCCCCGGGCGAGCTTTCCCGGCGACTAGAAAGCTGCGCTCCTTCCTTTGACTTTGGGCCGTGTTTTGAAAAAACCGGCGAAATGTAACGCGGACGCGGGAGAGCGAACGCTGCAAGAACAAGGATGAATTAACAATGCTTTTTAAAAGCGGCCTTCGCCGTTTCCACCTCGGCCATGCGTTTCATGTCTCGCTGCTCGAAATTCGACGAGGTCTCTCTTTCTCCCTGCCCTGTCGGCATTCTCGACGCTCACGCACACGGAAAACTAGCTTAGACTCTTTCTCCTAAACGATTCTATGTACAGCCAGATTGTATCGAACAATGAAACGTCGTCGCAAAGCGGATATCAAAATGCAGTGTACGAATAATCGTTTGCACTTCACAGGGAGAACCGATGAATACCGCGAGTAATAATTCGCTGTCCTTTCACGAGGTAATCTCGATTGCCGTGTATCGCGACTAACGCGAGCTACGCAGCGGCTGGTGGAAATAATTTCGCGAGAAAAATTACGAACAACCGAACGCGCGTGGCGCCGTGACGTCAGCATCGCGTTTCGTGGGTCCAATTAGTCGAAAAACACGTATAATTGGAATTAAGCTCTTAATTAATAGTTAATTAGCTGCCGGTAGTAGCAGCACCACCGGCTGGCAGCGGCAGCAACTGTAGTAACGAGTTAGCCCCGGGGAGAGGGTTTCATTGTAGGAGCGTGCCGCACGCCGTCGAGCCCGTTTTCGCTCGTTAATTCGAAATTAATTTATAATTGATAATTATTTTTGGGTCACGGGCCCTGTCCACCCGCTCCTTTCTAATTCCCCCCCCCCAGCTCCTTCAAAGGAAAACTCCCATTAACTGTCTCCAAAGCGACAAACAGAAAACCAGTCATTCTATCCTTACATGACTGAATTATCTTAATGAATCATTGATATGAAAATCAAGATCATGAAATATTTATGATCTTAATGAATTATTTATAATAAAAGACATCGGGTTTAAGAAGGAATTCTGTGAATTCGATATCATTACTGCCTGAATGAATTTCGAAAATGGAAGCACTTTAGAGAAACACAAAGGTGAATTGAATTTATCAATTGTCATTGTAGTTGTTAATGACTTGCAGTCGACTGAGTTTAAAAATTCAGTAAAACGAAATTAACGAAATTTAAGTCTCTAAAATACAACATAAAATTAATCTTCTAATCTAATTGATTCTGCCCAATTAAGAAATATGAATTACGTCATAGGAGAAGCGTTTCTGTCGATTCTAAATTCTGTTATCAGTAAATTTTCCAGCCGTTCCCCGAGAATATCGACTGTCGCGTGGCTGACACTCGATATTCGCGAGCGGAAATTGCGTTCGGCGAGGTAGCTTTCCCGATCGAAACTCGCAGGGAGCATCTACGCTCCCGCTGGTAATCACATCTCTCTTTCCGTCCGAATGTTTTAAACGTGAACACGTCACAAAGAGGGATAAATGGAAAAATAGTAGCGCATTATGCACTTCTTAGTTGCGAGTCGATGCATCAAAGGGGGAAATTGGAACGCGGGGATTCAGGCTAGAGTTTCTTCTTCGCGTTTTAATCCATCACGATGTCAACCTGATTTCATATTAGCAACAGAGATCCCGGTACATCGGTATTCACGATGAATCTCGGAGATTCTGTAATTTCGCTCGCTTGAAGATTTTCTGATTAAGCATTTTTACGGACGGGGTAACGGAATCGAACGATCGATGCGTGGGATTCGGTATAATTCGCGCGAGCACGCGGATTCATTGGCAAGTCAGGTATAATGGGTAATTTGATCCGCGATGTACGCGCGCCGCTTTGTCCGAGCGGCGCGCATAATTATCAATTAAAGCGCTATGAAATAATGAGCTCCGAATCTAACGAGTTAAAGACGATTTCTAACGCTCAGAAATAGCCAGTCGTTTTTCTATAATTAATTAATCAGACTTTCTTCCCGAGGGAAATGGTATTAATTTTTTGTTCCCACGAATTCTGTTGCAGGTGTTGGTCACAATATAGAGTCAGGGAAGGATTTCACGGTCGACGGTCTCTCTGGTTTCAGCAAGAAGAAGAAAAAGAAGCGTCGTCATAGGTGAGTGTCTCGTCCGAATTTAAAAATTCTCCACATTCCCCGTTTTCATTTAATCACACGTTGATTTTTTTTATTCCCCCCCACGGATAAAACGAATTCGATTAGATCGCGAAATCAGCGCGATGGAAACACGTGAATAATTGATAATCGTTGGGAAAATGTTGGACGCGAGAGACGAGAGCCATTCTTTGGTATTTCCGGGGTTGATTATCAGCGGGCAGAATCGTTCGGCGTTTCGGTGATTTTCATTTTGCCCCGATGATGATAAATTCATTCGGCGACGAATCATTTTAGACTTTTCACCGCGTAATCGGCGACTCTTACCGCCGATAATGAGTTTTCAGCTATTTTCAAATGACAGAGGCAACAACCGAGTTTCGAGTGACAAACACAGCCGCCCGCTCGCGCCCGGTAATTGTATACCGGACGCACGATTTCGAGCTCAAATTGCTCGTTAAAAATATAATTATCAGAAGGAATCGATTCCATTGAAACGCTCGGGTTACATGATGGACGTAAGACTCGCGCGCGCACGCTAGATGGGATGGCGTTCTGTTAAAAATTCATCAAAATCGCGTGAATGAAAAATGATTAAAAACGGACAAATGAAAATTCCTCGCGGCTCGGATGTTTGATTATAAAATTTATTAAATCCATTTTAAATACTGCGGAGAGGCGAGGAGAAAAAAGGCGAAACGAAAAATAAAACTGACGGGGGGGAGGAAAAAAAAAAAACGGATTCGCGCCGCTCGATTTGCTGGTAACTTTGTTTCATCCAAATGCATAGAATTTAATTTTGTTCCAGCTATCGCGGCCGACGAAATTGTTTTCTCTCTCATTTTTTTTTTTTTTTTTCTCCCAACCATTATTGAAAGCACGTATTTCCCCTGCCAGTGTTTCTCGCTACGCGGCTGGTGGCTTCTCCCTTGTGTAGGCTAGCTTTTAAGGGAAAAGTTGTAATGGCATATAACTAGGTTCATATGGTTGTTGCTCCAGGACGATCTTCACGTCACAGCAGCTGGAGGAGCTGGAGGCAGCGTTCAAGGAGGCCCATTATCCGGACGTGTACGCCCGCGAGATGCTCAGCCTTCGAACAGATCTACCCGAAGACAGGATACAGGTGAGCGAAAATCAAAAGACCTATGAAATCCAACCGGCCGGCCCGGCAATCGGCTCTTTGTGAAATTCGCGACTCAACGATATCAGGTTCCCTACGAACCGATCAAGGAAACCGTCTTACCAATTTCTTACCGTCGAAAATCATCGAACAATGATCAAAACACAAAAGTCGCGTACGGCTATTAATCAGATAATCGAATTAATAAGAAAGCTACTAGGAAGTGTGATAATAATGAAAGCAAAAGTGCAGTGGATTAAACAGATCCATTTTCAGCTGTGAATATCAGCGTGTAAATTGTAAGCGGCTGCTTTCGACGAGGTAACAGCAATCCGTCCATTGCCGCGTGACTCATTCTCATAGTTCATCTATTAAATCAACGCACCTGTTATAATGTGATTCATTTCAATCGCTGTTCAACGAAAATTTGTAAAGAGCCGTCGTGTTACAGAATCGTTCTCGGATTCAAGTGTAATTCGCTGTTGAAAGCAGTAATTTTGTTCGTTAACGGGATCCGGGAATTTTCTAAGCGGCAATCACGCGGTATCGGTGAAAACATAAAGCTGGAATATATTCAATTACGCGTGCCGCCGAATATTTCCAACTTCCGACCGGTTTTTCCGTACAGACGTTTCACACGCGCTCACTTGTCAAAGGGATCGTCGCTAATGACTGTCCGGTCATTAATTACAGTTGTTTCAATTACCAAGTAATTTATAACGGGAATTCAGACGTTGTCGATCGAGATATCTGTTTCCTAACTGATCCGACCGAAGGTTCTACTGTTGATTCGATCACGCGACTCGAATAATTATCATTCTCCACGTGCAAATTTTAAAACGTTTTTCGCTAGTTTTCCGTACGTCTGTTTTAAGATGACAGGTGATCCGCGGATGGAATTATTGACAACGGGTCGAAAGAACAGTCGCTAGTGAAAGGGTTAAGGGAGTGCGGCGTTGGTTAACGGCGAAGAGAGTGGCAGGACCAAAAGGCGCGACTGTAAAAGGGAGAATTTTCCCGGGTTGACGGTTAGTTACCGCGTACCCATGGAGCACTAGGCTGAGATAGGTTTCCGCATGGCGGACCCGGGACAAGCTTCCCGCCCCCTCGCGCTTGTTCCCGCGGTTCACCCCCCCTGCGCCCTTATCGCGTTTCTCTATACACGGTTTCGTAACTCGAAATTCCATAATCTACAAGAAGCTGTCGAACAATGGGTGAATCTCGAAGAATTTCGTAAAGACGTGGAAAATTATCAAATAGACTTAGAGTGTCGATTATACGTGTTGTGATTTGAATATTGGCGAGCGAACTATGAGCCAGAGGAGACATAAGGGAATTGTAAGATAGACAGGGGTGGGAGCGATAAGGATTGGTCCGTTGGTTGAAAAGAGACGAGACGGATAGAAGAGAGAGGGGATTTGGTATGGTCGAGTCGCGGTTCACCCCCTTACTACATTTCTCTGTCCAACGTTTCCTTAATACCTTCGAAATTCCGTAATCTACGAGAATCCGTCGAACGGGTGAACCTTGTCGTACGAAGAGTTTCGCGAGGACACGGGAAATCGTGAACCGGATGCCGATTATAGATATTGTAATTCGAAGATTAGCGAGTGATCTATGGGACAGAGGTAGCAAGGGGTGTTCTAGGAAAGGTGAGAGCGGTAAGGATGGTTCCGTTAGTCGGAAAGAGACGCGATAAATCATGGGACGGGTAAAAGGGTGCGCGCGAGGGGTAGAGGGTGGTTGGGTAGGTACGGTCGAGTCGCGCTTCACGGGGTTGTTGAAGCTTCGTGGCTGAAGCGTATACAGGGAGAGAGAAGGAGAACCAGCGAGAGAGAGCGAGAGAGACAGAAGGAGGGAGAGGGAGAGAGAGAGAGAGAGTGAGTAACGGCGCTGTGGAACGACAAAGCGGCCATTGCAGGATGGGTGCGGTCCCGCGGGCCAATCAGAGAGACGAGTCGCGGACCGGTCGGCCAATCAGACCGCGCCTTCCACCCGTCTTTTGTTTCTAAATTTGCGCGCGCGGCGGGAACACAATATAACGAGGTGCGGGATGCGAAGAGGGGTTGGTAATCGTTAACGGTGATATTTTTCTGTGGAAGTGCTGGCTTTCTTCGTTTTCTTCCTCCTTCCTTCGCTCGCCACCCCCGCCGACCCCCCGCGGGCTCATCGCGATACCTATCCCGTCTCTCCCTCTCGCCGCCGTCGCCTCTCCTTCGCACCCATCGCGCCACGTGAATCTCCTTCCGACCTGACGCGCGTCTCCATCGAGGTTCCTTGCTCTGTTCATGCCAGTTCCGCGACCAACCCCTATTTCTTTCCTAATTTCTTTGTAACTAAGAGCTTTTTGTAACGACGACCCGTGTCGCGGAACGGCCACCCTGCCTGGACAGTTCTCATATCGATTAGACGCGTTTTCCATTACCTCCGATGCGCTCTTTCGTGTTCTACACGAGTTTTCATACTGCACTTCGTTAAATGATTAACCCTTTTAGTGGATAAAGGTGTATACTAATGAACTAAATTAAAGGTCTGTGAATTCTTGGAATTTTGCATGAGCTCATGCATAGAATTTTTGAAACGCTTTATTTTAAGACTGTTCAAGAATGGTAAAAGCAGCACTAAAAGGTTTAAACTATTGAACTGAAGTGAACTCGTGAGAAATTATTCAACTAATACTAATTAAAATTATACTAGTAACAAATTATTGCAACCATAAGCTTGCATATTAATTCCTGTTAAAAAAATTAAATCGTCTGCCTAAAAATTCCAGTCCGAATGATTAATTTGTTATTCTCAAAAGAGGCGTTTATAGTGGCCAGCTGTTAAATTGAAAATATGAGGCCGGAAGTGTCTGCTTCCGCTGTCGAATGAAATTATCTTGTCTACTTTGACGGCGCGCCGTCAGTCATCCAGCCGAGGTGTTATTATTCGATTAAATGAACGGGTCAGGTCGATACGGAACAAATTAATTAGTCACGCTCGCCGAGTCTGAAATCATACCGACGCGCAGGGATATAATGATTCGTCGAAAGGGCGTGCTGTAGCTATCATAAGATTTTCGTTGTCGAGGAGAGCAAGTTCGTTGCTTAAGAAAACATCACAGAGGAAACATCGCACTCTCTTTGACGAGAAGCAAGCTTGATTTTTGGTATCGAGAGGCTTTCTCATTTCTAACAGTGACAAAGGGACGTCGAGAAGAAAGGCAAGCGCATCTCCTTTGAGATGAACACGACTATTCGCGACGAGGCACTTGCAAGAGCCTCCTACTAGTATTCATCCCGTGGATATAATGCTCCGTTCTCGAACGTGTATCAAGATTTTAATCCTACTTCGCGAGGATCCCCTGCCGAGTATCGGGAGAGATCGCAATAATTGTCAATCCCTCTGGCTCCCGTTCGTATCGCACGGCACCGACTTTTCGGCGCTTGTTACAATCCCGGCGCTGACAATGCGAAGAAAGAAAGCTCGGAACGCTCCCGCGGTGAAGTTAATAGAAATGTCTTCGGCAGACCTCCATTCCGGCTGCCTCGATAATTGTACACGATTCACGCGTGCGGTTCGTAATTACTTCCCACTCTATCTGTTACCCACGATTTTTACGAATACTCCCCTTTATGCCGAATAAACAACTTACAGTTTTATGCAAATCCGCATTCCTCTTTATTCAACAAAATTAACTGCAGATACAGTAAACCATTAATTCATTCTGATACATCACTTCAAAATATACTCGCATGAATTTTATTGAATTTCATATACTTTATGAGATACTAAGAAAATTTGGCCAACATTTCATTAAATATCTTATCAAAGATAATATATCTTATCAAAGATAATAATAAATCTCATCCATGCATCGTGTGTTTTAATTCTAGCTTTTTATTCTTGCCATTCTAAGAGGCAGCGTATATTTATCAGAACTTTTTTTGGAAAGAAACTCCCCTAAGAAATGTATCCCATAAAGAGCGATCGAGTTGACTACTCGTTATCGCGATCGCTCTCGTGCTAGCGACGATTCCAGGCCTGATTGGACGCGCGGAATCTCGCACAAGCGGACGTAATTTCGGAGGGTTACGGGGTTTCTTACGGGGGTGCGAAAATTACTGGCTGGCACACGCGGCTCGTGATCGATACATGTATTCGCAGAAGTGTCCCGGACCGAAATGACACCACGAATCACCGTTTCATTCGAGCCAGCCGCGTGCAGCTTAATAAATCGCCCTTTCAAGGAAGTGGGGGGACAGACAGGATGTCAATGTTTAATTGGAAAAAATATAGATTTAATGATCGATTCTACATCTTTGTGTTACAAAGTGAAGCAAGATTCATAATTAGATTGCTGTAGATTTTAAGCAGTCTTGTACTAAAGACAGACTGAATAAAATAAGGATCAAACTGTCCTAGGATGTATCTTAATTTTGTCTTGTAAACCCATGTTTCGAAACATTGTTGCCTCGTTATAAAACGAATAATTTATAAATATCAGAAAAGCCACGTGACCAGCCCCTCGATCCCTAATCGCGTTTCGTCAGCCCTCGCCACGTTGCATTTTCTAACTGCAGTTTAAATACACGTGTAACACGCTTTGGAACACGTCGGCAATCTGATATATTATTCAGCATCGAATTGAACGTCCGAGGGACGATGTCGAGTATCTAACGAGCGTAGCCTACTCGAAGGGGAAAGGAGTCGTCTTGGCTGCGCGAACAGACGTTTCCCGGTTGAAGTTATCCGGGTAATGAGGGCCCGCGACTCCCACGGGCTCCCTCGAAAAAACAACACGCGTAAGCGGGCCATTAGCGAAGAATTTTGACGTGGCTCACACAATCGAGTCGAGCGGGCAGCCGAGGAAAAAAATTGACTTCAAGTAGCAATGAACCGACGTGGCCGAGGCGCAAGTCATCTGCCCGAGCTCGCTGGAGTGTTCTCAGCCCGGCTTCCACGTACGTCCCTTGACAAAGGTGCATCTGAAGGAAGCCCCCTTCCTGACAACAGGGCCC